ATAAATCTGGAAATATTTATTTTTTTTCATAAGTATTTTTAAATCAAATCGGTTATTAATTTATTAGGTGAGTTGAACAACAATTCGAAAAACAGACCTCAATTTATAGGATCAAATATACCATAGAACCAGATATTTTGTCCATTCACATAATTTTGTAACATTTCGAAATTATTTTTATATTAGAAATTACTGAAATATTCTTTTCAAAAATTTGTTTTGGATAAGAGAGTGAATTTTCATCCTGATATATTGCTATATATGAATATAATAATTATTATACATTTTTCACACTATGAATGTGATTTGATAAGCGTTTCGCTACACGGTAGCTTCATCAGTTATATTGCTACATCAAACTGTTCAACGATATCATTTATATAATGGTAGATAACTCAAAACTCAATTGGATAAATTATTTTATGGGAAAGCCAGTTTGTGGCTTTCTACTACTCCATCTTGATACAGAAAAATTTCGGAATTTTCCATAGAAAGTAAGGAAGTAATCATTGGTACTGATTTTTTATTCACCACCACATTCAAACCTCGCTCTGCAGAAATAATAAGCAAGACAGAAGTCTTTCATTACATAATGTTCTGCGTTATCAACTTCTAGATGTGTTTCTACCAGACACAAGATATCAATATGCTCAAAAATAGAAATACTTGCGAAAATTTGGTCCAATTTCAAGAAATTGAGTCCTTGCACATTCAAAACAAACATTCTAGGATCGAAAATATCTGCACTAACTAGCTGCGTGGATTTTCCTTCTTCTTCGGGTAAATAAATTCTCTGATACAAGCATCAGCTGGCCATTTCGTGGGATCCATGGCAGCTCGAAAATTTCTTTGAGATATTGAGACCTTAAAGGACGAATAAATATCTGGAAACTTTGAATTGAGTTTCTCACACTTCAGGAAAACTCGATTCCAAAAAGGATTCAAGTGTGGACACTTCAGTTCCTGGCGGCATTCTACATACATGAAGATTAACTTTTTTTTTGGTTCCCTTGAGAGAATTGTTCTGAACGTTGGTATCAATTACCATTTTGGGTTTTCTTTTACGTTGAACAAATTTCCATTGGTTGGCTGAAGTGAATCTTCCTCTTGACTATCAGCATGGGATGTATTTGGTTGTGCTAAAGAGATGTATTTATTTAGAGCAGATTTCATTTCACATTCTGCCAGAGCTGCTGACACGTCAGATATTTTAATTGGATTATGTTCAACTAAATCCCTGTTCCTACAATCCATCGGCGCCGCTTCTGTTTGTCGAGAATAAGTATCCTTATCGCCCTTTTTTTCTTAAATTGTATCTCCTTTTTTGATGGCCGTTTTGTCTCTCATAGGTTGTGAATTGTTTAAAATATTCACCAGGTTTATTAATGAATTAATTTGATGTCTTAATTCCTCGATAATAGTATATTTTTGTTTCACAATGTGATTGAAGACTTTTATATCAATTTTGTTATTAGTGTCTGACAGGTTTTTCAAGGCATCAAAAAAGCCCGTGTCAATATCATCCTCGGTTACCTTTACTTTTTCACAACAAATCAAGGCATCGTTATTAGTTGTATTTAAAATTAAGCTTTTTGCACAACTTGGATGGTAGCTGCTATGGCACAATGAGCACTTAACATCATTCACTACTTTAGATTTGCACTTTTTACAGAACAATGTTAGATTATTTACCCCGGCACCAGCCATCACGTATTGCCTGTACGAACGTAGAACGCAGATTACTATCTATTTCGAGAATCAATGGTAGACTCTATTATAGTTTAGAAGAGTTCTATAAGGACTGGCAGCTTGAATTGGGCTAGCAAATGCGACAAAACAGGAAAAAAAATCTTCCATTCCAGCTTCAAAGCGTTTGTTGTCTTTGCGAAAAAACCACTCGAAAATTCTGATTGATTAATGTAAACTTGTCAAAGAGAATCTATCATTGTTATAATATACTTGGGGCTTGTAGTTTCAATAAATTTGTATAATTGATTATGTTGATGATGATGGTTCAAAGTGAGTGGAACTGTTCAACGATTCAAACTCCATTAAAGTTGTCAATAACACCAACACACACATTAATGACCTTGCTCCATCAATTATTGATTATATAATTGAATGATTCACATCATTTTATGCTTAACTCAAATCAATTTCATTTTTGACCAGAAGAAAACTAATATTTCCCAAAATGTTTTTTTAAATTTTATTCGAGAACATCATATTTTCAAATTGATAATCAATTGTAGTTTGAGTTATATGACTACGATTTTTCTTAGATGCAACATTTCTATCATTATTACATCCATCAGAAATAACTTCAAAATTCTTATTAGTCAGTGAGCTATGCTTGAAGACTGGAAGTAAACAAATCTAAAGAAATGAACTTCAAACGTTCAAGCCAGTCTTGAATATACCTACACAGTAGGTTGAATGGACTGATGCCTATCACAAAAAAAAACTACCCCCCTGGCTTATACCACGAAGGGCGTTGGATTATATCCGACAAATTACGGATGTGCAGTTGGTTAGTACCTCGTGCACTAGATGGAGTGACATTTTGTTGTTCGCTCCAACGTAGGAAGAGGAATGAAATACTCTGAAAGAATTCCGATTTTCAATTATGGAATATCATTGACTTAAGTCGATGATGGCCACTATCTTGCACTGATGGGTGGCTAGTGCCCGAAACCGGTCTGCAAGTGTGCCCGTTCCAAAATTGAAGGTCGACTCTTTCAGTTGTATAACCAATTGCATATGCAGGAAATTTTCTGTGAAGATTCCTGCACTGACGCCTGTCGGATATAATCCAACGCCCTTCGTGGTATTAGCCAGGGGAGTAGTTGTTTTCTGACAGGCGTCAGTCCATTCAACATACTGTGTCTGTATATTCGAGATTGCCCTGAACGTTTGAAGTTGATTTCTTCAGATTTAACTTCAACACTGGTGCCACAGATATAACGTAAATATACGTGGAATATCCAAAAAATTATCTGAATGTTCCAATTTCGCCGACAACGTACATTCGATAAGCAATTTTCATATTCGTTTTGCGTGTTCAAGTGACAAAACAATCAAATCGCATGAACTATTCCCACACTATTTGAAACAGGTCAATATCAGCAAGGCGTCTGATTCTGATGAAATGCCTGTCATCGTACTCAAAAAGCACGCCAATGAACTCGCATCAGTATTTTGCAAACTTTCCAACCTATCTTACATGAGAGAAGTTTTTTCTTCTTGTTGAAAGATTGGTCGCGTTCAGTCTATACCCAGAAAGGGCTGAAAAAATATTTCACATAACTATATACCAGCCACTCTGCTATCGGTGATATCATGGAGAAAGCCATAAACTACCATATTTTTAAATATTTGAAAGGCTCTAACATCTCGAGCGATCATCAATAAAGCTTTTGGAAACAAAGATCGTATGTCACCCATATTTGTAATAACGCAATCGAGAAACATAGAGAGTCAAGAACTGTTGCGCTCGATATTTCTGAGGCCTTTCACCGACTGTGACATGATGGTTTACTGGTCAAACTTCACTGCTATGGCTTGTCGAATCATTTTTGTGTATGGCCCAATGGATATCTCTCGATTACTTTTACCATCAACGCTGGTGTTCCCCAGGGATCCATCCCGTCTCCAATCTTCTTTTTATTGTATATCAACGACTAGCTGGAAAAAATCAAGAATCTAATATATTGCTTTGTTGACGACATTTGGCTCGTCATTCCATTTGTTCTCCAGGATATTTGCTACGGAGGCACATCTTTACCGGCAGCAGAAGTATATCCTAATGAGTATCTAGAAGTGATTTCGAATCGGGTTGAAGTAACTAGTTTCTATTTAATGCGACAAAACACTAGGTATCGATTTTCTCCAAAACCGGATACAATT